TTGTGCACAGGAAGCAGAGTGATGAGCACTTGTGCACAGGAAGCAGAAAAATGAGTGTTTGTGCTCTAGAAGAAGAGAGAGAGTGGTGAGTGATTATTTGTGCCCAGTACCTTCTCCTTTCTGTTCAAAACATAATCCTAGTCCCATGAATGGTGCCACCCACAGTCGAAGTGGCTTTCCCCTCCTCAATCAACCTAAACTAGATAATCTCACAGTCAAGTCCTTAGATTGTCTCCATGGTGATTCTCAGCCCATCGAGTTGGCAATCATTTTTATCCATGGGTAGCTTATTCTGCCCTTGAGGCCCTTGAGTCGACATTTGTAGCAAACATTACAAGTGACTCTGATGTGGATGCTTTCTGGACCACACTTTGGAAATTACTTCTACAAAGAACATACAAAGCTGCCTAGTGTTTATAAGTGTGTGTATTCTATTATCTAAGCCCATTCTGGAAAGGCAACCCTAAACCAGGTTCTGTACCTGCCTGCTCACTGAGACTATGGTTCTCCCAGCCTCTCCAGTCCTGTTCAGTATCATGTTCTCCTCACCTGTGAAATGAAGTGTTGAGCTGTGTACTCTCAACTCTTGATAGCTCCAAAGCCCTGAGAATCTGATTTCACCCCCTCTACAGATGCACTTGCCAGAAAGGCTATGTGGGCGACGGCCTGAACTGCTATGGAAACATCATGCAGAGACTCAGAGAATTAAATACTGAACCCAGAGGAGTGTGGCAAGGACAGCTGACCTCTTTCATCTCGATACTCGGTATGCAGATGTTGCCCTCGAGGGCAGCACTCTTTCAGCCCAGGGCATCTGCTAGAGACAAGTAGACAGAAAGGGACAGACAAGGTGGGTGCATTAGGACTAGTCCTAGTGGGGCCACGCCATGTGGATGTGACGGGAAGGAGCAGACAGATGCTTCCAAGGAGACAGCCATTTGCCAGGCAGACTTAGAAATGGAGGACAGGGTCATAACATCACCATAGAGTAACAGACTAGCAGTAAGAGAGACAGCCACAGATATAAAGACTTATGTCCTAGACATCCTGTGGTTTTCAAGGATGAATAAATGTTAGCTGAGAATGGAAAAATCACTGAAGAACAACTAAGAAAGGAGAATCACAATGGTATCCATGTGCAGCAGGGAAGGTGTCATCTGAATTCTGGACCAATCTTGCTTTGTGTACCCTCAGTTGGAAGCTGCTAATTAACCAATAGTGACACATCCTCTCTGAGCCCTAACCAGTGTGTAACACAACATGCTCACTCATTTACAAATGCCTCCCTCAAACAATTACCCCACACCCCCCAGAGGGCAAAATATTATAGTTGATCCGAGCACTCAAACCAAACATGAATTTGTACAATCAACAAAAATATAAAACACAGACCTGACCAGACAGAAACCTTAAAATATCAGCATTTATGTCAGAATTGGCCAAGTAAGCTAAAAACCATTTCCCAGAAGGACCACAGTGAAGAAGTCTGTACTTGCAAGAAAATGCTGTGTTCTCTGGATAATGTTTTACTATGCCTTCTGTGTGATAGTCCACAGGCCTATACAAGGCCTCCTAGGGAAACAAAGCACTGGAGATGTGGCTTGGGCTTGAAGACAATCTTGCAGCAACTCTACCGTCAGATAAGAACTCTCCTGACATTCAGTGAGACCGGAAGGAGTTGCCTTGTCCTTTGAAGAACAGACTACACATACAAACATTTTTCTAGACATAGTCCTACTTACCTCGAACCTTCCCCGTGCATCTTGCTCCTGTGTGAGAACACAGAGCCTGTTCTTATGTCCCAGAATCCCCTGGGTGATGGAGACTGGCCAGCTAGAAGACTTGACTTGCAAGGCTCGGGGTAGAATGCAAATGTGAGGTCTTTTGTTCAAATAGTCTGCTTTTCAAGAGGGCACAAATGGAACAGTAGGTCTATTGTGGACTCCTCTGAGCCGCCCTTGGAGGTGCTATGCATCCCCACACATGGAGAGGAGACAGTTCAGCAAGCCGGGCACATGATCAGGGATGGTGGGACTGCCAAAAGACATCATCACACCCTGCCATTTCGTGGTAGAGCACCTAGAAAGCCACAGCTATGCCTCCTGGGAAACTCCTAGAGCATTCTGGGAGTATGTGAGGCCAGCACATCACTACCGTATGCTCTTGGAACATCAGCTTACCAAGGACACACAGAGCAATGAGAAGAGCAGGCATTAAGGGACTCGGCCTAACATAAGACACAGTCTCACTTCCCATGACACACCCACGTGACGTTTTCTTTCTCTGTGTGTTTGGACTCTTAAGACAGAACTTATGCCTGGCCACTGAGCAGCCTGGGACCCTTCACTGTGCTGCTGCCCTCAGACAAAGGACTAAAAGAGCTTGATGTGAGTATCTAAGATAACCCCATCTGAGGGGCCAAGATGAATGTCCTAGTAGGCAGTATCTTATTTAAAGTGAGAAACCAATATTACACTCAAGATAAGGATGATGAGTGTCTTAGTTACTGTTCTATTGCTGTGAAGAGACACCATAACGAAGAAAGCTTATAGTGACCATCGTGGCAGGGAGCATGGTGACAGGCAGGCATGGTGATGGAACAGTAGCTAAGAGTTTACATCCTGACCCACAGGCAGCAGTCTGAGAGAGGGGAGAGAGGAAGAGAGAGAGAGAGAGAGAGAGAGAGAGAGAGAGAGAGAACGCCTGGGTCTGGCATAGGCTTTTGAAGCCTCACCCCAATGATACACTTCCTCCAACAAACCCACACCTCCTAATCCTTCCTAATCAGTTCTACCAACTGAGAACCAAACATTCAGACATATCAGCCAATGGGGGTGCTTCTTATTCAAACCACCACATTCCACCTCTGGCCCCTATAGGTTCACAGCCCTATCATGATGTGAAACACGTTCAGTCCAACTTCAGAAGTCCCCATAATCTTCACAGTCTCAACAGTTTAAAAGTCCAAAGTCTCTTCTGAGACTCAAGGAAACTTCTTAACTGCAAACCTCTGTAGGTTCAAAAAGCAGGTTACATACACTTCCAACACAGAGAGGGAGGAAAGGGACAGAGGAAAAGCCAGACTGGAACACTGCACAGCAAACACCAAATCCTGACTTAGATGACTCTTCCAGTCTCCCACTCCTTCCATCCTTGTTGACTGCCACACGAAAACATCCAATAAAAAAAAAAGGTGAAAAAAATTTAAAAAAAAAAAAAGAAAGAAATGAAAGCTCTCACTACACTTGCTGCTGCTTGATCTGCCACAGGGCACGCAGCAAGGACACCATTTGCAAACTGGATTCCAATCTGTCAGCTCCCAGGTCTTTGCTCTTTAGAACTTGAAATTTCACGACATCAAGAATTTATTAGCCACAAGGAAAACAATGACCCTACTGAGATTTCCCAGTTCTGGGGGGTGAAAAGTCTAAAGACTTGTGCTCACAGACACCTGTCTAGTTTCCAGTCTGCCCCTAAGACAGTACCTGGGATACTGCATCCTCAGGTGCACAAGGTGCAGCGTCCTCATGTGACAAAAGGTGAAGAGATAAATGTGAACCTGTCAGGCCTGTGGTGCTTTGAATGTGCTTGGTCCAGGGAGTGGCACTGTTAAAAGGTGTGGCCTTGAAGGAAGTGTCACTGTGGGGGTGGGCTTTGAGACCTTCCTCAACTGCTTGAGGAATCAGTCTTCTCTTTGCCTTTGGAACAAGATGTAGAACTCTCAGCTCCTCCTGCACCATGCCTGCCTGTTCGCTGCCATGTTCCCACCTTGATGATAATGGACCGAACCTCTGAACCTGTAAGCCAGCCCCAATTAAATGCTGTTCTTATAAGAAAAAAAAAAGCTGGTTCCATGCTGGGGCTACAGTGCTCCTTGACAGGTATCCCAGGGCTCTGCATCTACAACACTTTGGGGTCTCCAATGCAATCCAGACTTTACATTTACAGATGCCCATAATGGCCTCTCTGTGATTCCATTTAAGAACTCTCCCGCCACATGCCGGCAGATTTCCTTAACCATGGTGGAAGAGTCCGAAGCTCCTTCACACCTGTATCTTGCTTGATGAAGCCAGAAGCAGCGCTGCCCAGTTCTTCTGCTTGCTTGGGATGGAACTGTTGCCCTGCTTTTCCCTTGCTCCCCTTGCTTCCCTTGCTCCTTACCATCATAGAGCTGCGTCTGAATGACCACCAATAGCTATATGATCCAGTCAATACTACTAGACTGTCTTGAAATCTTGAAATCTCCTCTGCTAACACCATTAGTCCAAACTCTTTAACTTAACCTCCAGCACAATGTTTGGACAAGGACAAAATGCAGTCATATTCTTTATCAAAATATCATAAGAACGGTCTCTAGGCTACTTATCGAACCCTCTTAAGCTTGGGTCCACAGTCCACATTGCCCTCAGCTCTATTGCCTTCCATGCTCCTGCTAGGGTGACCCACTAAGCCCTGATTAAAGTGTTCAACTGCTTTTCTAATTCAGTCTTCCATATTTCTACAGTAAGCAGCATGGTCAGGCCTATTACAGGAATACCCCAGGACCTGATACCAACTTCTTACTTACTGTTCTATTGCTGTGAAGAGACACCATGACCAAAGCAGCTTATAGAAAAAGATTTAATTGAGGATTTGCTTACATTTTCAGAGGGTGTGTCCATGACCATCATGGTGGGGGGCATGGTGGCAGGCAGGCATAAAGCTGGAGCTAAGAGCTTACATCTGGATTCACAGGCAGCAGGCAGAAAAAGAATAAGTTTGTGTCTAACATGGGCTTTTTAAACCTGTGAGCAGGAACTGGTGAGATGGCTTAGTGGTTAGGAGCAGTGGCTGTTCTTCCAGAGGTCCTGAGTTCAATTCCCAGCAACCAAATGGTGGCTCATGACCATCTACAAAAGGATCTGATGCCCTCTTTTGGTGTGCATGTATATATGCAGACAGAACACTTATACATTGTTTTTGAAAAATACATAAATAAATAAATAAATTTTAAAAACAAAGCCTGAGAGCTTACCCCCAGTAACATACCTCTTCCTGCAAGGCCATATTCCTAATCCTTCCCAAACAGCCTACCAACTGGGAATCAAACATTCAAGTATATGAATCTATGGAGGCCATTCTCATTCAAACCACGCAGTGGGTTTTTAAGTAAACATATGTTTTATTTTAAATTAACACATAATCATTGTGAAATATATTCTGGTGTATATAAATAATGTGTAATTGTCAAATTGGAATAATTGCTATTTCCATCCCCTTTAACATTTATCTTTCTTTGTGCTGCTAGGCACTCTCAGTACTTCCTGGAATACGTTATGTTTCCCTACATTATAGACCCCATCACATACTATGTAATACCAGAGTTTACTCCTCTTGTCTGAATTACGGTTCCTGTTGTTTCATTGCTCTCTGACTCTCCTCTCCTTTCTTGCTTTCTTGCCTGGAGTGACTACCATTAGCACTATTTCCTTCTAAGAAATCAACTCTTCTCTCATCTGGACGTGAATGAGAAAATACACTATTAAATGTGCCTCTCTACACAAACAATAAATGCACACCTCAATTTAGTTTCTCCCAATGAAAGGATTTGTGTATCTAGCAAGACCATTACCAGCACTCTACAATGCCCTCTCCAGACATCTATCTTCCAAGAGTACCTTCAAAGCTTCTTAGCATGCAGTCATGTGACGGATACAATTTGTATAATGCAAAACTGCTCATTCCCCACAGAAGACTTAAACTAGTACATTAGCTAAGTACTCATTTACATCATCAACAATGACAACAGTGACGGGAACAGGAAGAGGTTTTCACTCTTCCATGTGCACAGTTGTTGTCTGAGATGATGTCATGGAGAGGGGATGAGAGCTATATCTGGTAGAGGTATCCCGTGGTGATGACATGTTTGGTCTAACATAACTAGTGCTTACAAATTTGTACAAAAGTAGATTCTCCTTCATCCAAGATGTTTTCCGAAAAATTTTGCTGCCTTCAATCAAAGTCCAGCATGTGGAAGGCTCGATTAAATGCATACAGCATCAGCATTCATCCACTGCAATGAGTCTGTCTACTGGTGACTTCCAGAGATGCCCTGTGTCTCTTCTGCTATGGAAAAAGGACAATGTCACTAGCCTATATCCTATGAACTATTTGGGAGTAGAGTCCTCCCCTTTAATATATAAAGTCTAGGGGAATTCATTACAACTGTATCTGTTGATTGTTGATTATGGAGTAATAAAGGCACAAGTTTGGTCCCATAAATGTGCTATTCAAAAGTATCATCATTCCACTCTACCTGTTCTTAATTTTTGACTGTTTACTCTTTAATTGTGTTAGGTAGGTACACCTTCTAAAAACTTGGGGTGGTACACACATGTAATTCCAGCACTTGGGGCTACCTTCTCTTTTCATTTAAAACAAAAATAAAAACAAAACAAATACAAAAGGAACCTTGAGAAACTTTCATTCTGGTGCTCTTTCCTAGACTCCTCTATGCCTGGTACTCTCTGTCTCCCCTGCAGCCATTGTTCTGCTCTCTGTACCACATCAGTTCTGGGGTGTGGCAACCCCATGTCTGGCAGTGCACTTGGCATCAGCTCAGACTCTCCAGATTTCCACTCTAAGACTTGTGCTCACCTGAAACATCACCAATGTTTCATAGAGCTCTGTAGCACACTCCAGCTTGGGTGTCTTTGATGACGGGTGAGGCATGAAATGTATTATAATGTTCATTATCTTCAGACATCATCCTAGCTTGCTCTCTTTTCTTAGGTAAAGGAGCTCTTGATGGACAAAGAGGCTGCTCGGTACTTTGTGAAGCTCCACATCGTGGCTGGGCAAATGAGCACGGAGCAGATGTATAACTCAGACATCTTCTACACCTTGACGGGAAAGTCGGGGGAATTCAACAACGATAAGGTCAGAATTTCTCTGAATTTCACTACACCAGGGCAACACCTAGATTAGAGGTGTTTGGGTGAATTGTCACGGAAGAGGACTGTAATGTTTGATTTGGGACTAGCCTGAATTAGATTTCAAGGCAACCATCACTCAGCTGCCACTGTTAATACCACAGATGCAAGCAGAAAGAACACTGACCCAAATTATCATAGCCAAATTAATTAAAGCAAGCAATTAGTTAAAGCAAGCTTTACACGGTCTGTCTCTCTCTCTAAAGGCAGGGTTCAAGGGATAAGCATTGGACATGAGTGTGATAAGAGTTTTTACAGCTCAGGAGGAGTAGGTGGGTTTCAAATGGAGGATTTGGCAGGCAAGTAGGCGGGGTTACAAAAGAGGACCATAAGCATAACAAGTTGATCATGACAACCTCCTGAAACAAAGACATGGTTGCAAGATGGTCACAACAAGGTAGTCATAACAACAGATGGTTTCAAACAGGGTGGTCACAACAAGGTGACCATAACAACAGGTGGCCACAATGAGGTTGTCATAACAACAGGTGGTCATATAACCTTTTAAAACAAAGACATGGTTGTTGTTTCCTAGAACAGGTGGTACAGAAGCATCTGTAGTTAAGGTTACAAGTAGGTCATAGCCCAGTCCTTGAGAAACATAGGTTTAATCATAAACAAGAATGAACCTAACTTGTCTTTACTATAAGATGGCTTTTAAGCCTAAGATAGAGGCAGGCTGGTTTGTCACCACCATGAAGAGAAAGTGCTGTGAGCCTGCTTCCCAGAAGCCCTAGTCCCAAACCCCGAGCATTTCTCTTGCAAAAGGAAATGAATGGTGTGTGTTTGGTTTGGGTTGCTGGCACTGACCCATCTTCTCCCTTCATTCAGACAGCTTTTGTTTTTTAAGTCAGACTACCTTACTTCCCTTTACAAGCTCTTTTTGTGTTTCTATTAAGCTGGGGGCATGTGATTAAGAGGTGTGCGTGTATGAGTTGTGTCCTAAGCTGTCTGTTGCATTTTGCTTAGTATCAATAGCTGGCAGTCTCCTGGGTGTTCTTTCCATGCTAAGCACAGGTGTTGATTTGTGTTATGTACCACTCAGGAAGGAGGTCTTGACAGAATCCTTGTTTTCCCTATGGGACAGTGGAAAGGTCACATAGAAAATATCTGAGCCAGGGATCAGGTATGGGTCTGACTGGTACCAACCTGCTATGCTGTGTATGTAAGAATGGATGATAGATTCAGCAGAGCAGTGTAGATATGACATAGCCATGTGTATCTGTATATACTCATGTATTCATTAGTATTTGTTGTCTGTGATGCTTAAGAGTTGCATGAGAGAAAGAAATGCAGTTACGCCCAGTTAAGCATTCAACAATTGCATGTATTGTGCACCATCTTTGTGCAATACATTAAGCCAGTAGTTCTCAACCCTCCTACAGCTTCGACCTTTTAACATATGTTGTGGTGACCATAAAATTATTTTGTTGCTACTTCTTAACTGTAGTTTTCCTACTGTTATTAAAATATCTTCTATGGGATTGTGGGTCTGTGCTTCACCTTACCGCTGCTCCAGGGAGACACAGGCTGGGGCCAAGGCTGTGGTTCCCTAACTCCTGGGCACCCAGACACCATGAGGGAACCATGAGGAGCTGAAAAGGGAATGGGAAAAAATGAGGGAGACTACAGCCCAGTAATGAGCCATGGAGCTGTGGGGAATCCAGCTTAGCTCAGGGTGAGCATCAGGAACTCGGAGGTGCCTTCTGCCATAGACTTAGGTGGCCCAGCTGGGTAGCAAAGGTTTTCCCCCATGATGGTTCTTGAGAAAGGAGATAGTCCTTGCTTGTCCAAACTGTTTATTCACGGTGAAGAAGGTGCACACAACTTCCTCAGGGTGGACCAGCATAGATTAAATACTTTTTGTAGGAAGGAATGTCCAGGAAGGAAAGCTTATTGGCTAAACTCTCCAGGCCAGCCCATCTAGATACCTCATTAGCATGGAGAGTTGTTATGGTTCTCTTAGTGGGATGTCATGGTCACGTGCTCCAGGACAGGAATCTGGTCAGGAGCAGATTCAACGCCTACTCTTCTCAATTATGAGAATTTCTGGGTTCCTTAATCTGCTCAACTTTACCAGTTTTTCTGCCTGGTGACTCCATTCTACTTGCCCCACACAGGATAGCTGATATGTGACCCCCATGAAAGGATCATTCAACCCCCAAAGGTGTCGTGACCCACAGATTGAAAACCACTGTATTAGAGTGAGAGATGTATTTATAATCAATTGAATTGTTATACCCTAGTGGAGCTTGCAGCTTATTGGAGGAGAGCCTACACTGACTTGCTCAAATTTTGCATGAGATACTCATTAGTGACCATGTGATATTCATCAGTGACCATGTGATACTCATCAGTGGTCATGTGATGGTCATCCATGATCATGTGATACTCATCAGTGCTCATGTGATAGCCATCAGTGGTCATGTGATGGTCATCAGATCATGTGGTACTCATCAGTGATGTCATATACTATCTCATTTGAACTTAGTGGAAATGATGCAAGATGGGCCAAGCCAACACCTTCATCCTCATGTAAGATCATCTGATTTATCCAAAGTCACACAGCCACGGGACTTCTTACTTCTATCCCGGACTTGTTCTTTCTAGGACACCTTGTTAATTTTATTTATTTACTTTTCTTTCTTTGGTATTTTAGGACAATCAATTACAGCTCAAACTTTATGGAAGCAAAACAGTGAAAATTATCCAGGGGAACATAGTTGCCTCAAATGGGCTTGTGCACATCCTCGACAGAGCCATGGACAAGATAGAGCCCACATTTAAGAGCAACCCCCAGGTGAGACAAGTCAAGAACAAGTGAGGTCAACCCATGTCCACCCTCTTTGCTGCCTGGAGAGTCACATCTAGTAAAAAAGTGTTTGCCAGAATTTAGCCTTCGTTTTCCAAGGAGGGTCTCAAACTAAGAGAAGGCAGGATGATTTGACAATTTTCAGTAGACTTCTGGGTAATTCTGCAGTGAGAAAGGAAGATGTGCTGGGGTGGGAGAAATTGTTACGGATTTTTTTTATATAAACCATATCAGACAATCCTGGCCATATGGATTGACTGGCCATATCAGACAATCCTGCCTGATGCCATGTTGTCATGGCAATTCATTCCTTGTGCTTTGTGGAAGACAGTCATAGTTGTAATGGATTTCTTCCTTCTGATCTGCCCGATACGGTCAGAGGCTACTGTAAACTGCACAGGTTTGGATGACTGGTCAAATGAAAACAGTTGCACACTGCCTAGCAGTCGGCTAGATCCATCATACAGGCCACACTTTCATCTTAACTCGGCCGTGTCTCTTAACATTAGGGTTCATATTTCCTAAACTATTTTTTTTTACTGACTTTTGAGCAAAATCTGTCTTTTCAGCAAACCATTATGACGATGCTACAACCAAGATATGGCAAGTTCAGATCTTTGCTGGAGGTATGCACTTTCAAACATTTCAGAAGAATCTGGTTAAGGAAGGCCTTTGTAAAATCAGCAGAGAGGCTAACTTTAAATATTTTTTGACAAACTACTTCAAATATTACTTTCAATGAAGAAGAATATAACATTTGTTTTCTCAAATGCAGAAAACCGATGTTGGACAAGCCCTAGAGGAAGGTGGTACTGGAGGACCATACACCATTTTTGTTCCAAGTAATGAAGCATTGAGTAACATGAAGGCTGGCATCCTCGACTACCTTCTTTCTCCAGAGGTAGAGTACCCCACTTACCAATGGACTGCATCAGCATCACTGTCTCAGCCTTTGTCCATTCTGATATTTCTCTGTACTAAAAATAAAAAGATAGACAGACAGACGATAAATGGATGGATAGATACAGACAGATGATTGGTTGATTGATTGATTGATTGATTGATCAATCGATCGATTGATTGATACATAAATCAGGCAGACAGATGACAGATGATAGATAGATACACAGATAGATACATAGATAGATACATAGATGGACATAAACAGACAGACAGACAGACAGACAGACAGGCAGGCAGGCAGGCAGGCAGGCAGGCAGACGGATATTTTAAGTTCCTTACAACTGTAAAGTCACCCAGAGAATTATACCTTCAACAGACCACTTAGGGCCAGGCCTAGACTAAGTTTTCAAAGAACCAAGTGTCGTTGTGAGATGCTCCAACCTCTCTTTTCTTTTGATTTTTCTTCTCTCTTCAATGACCCTTTTCTTCTCTACATTAGTTCTTCAGTGCTGTCATAGCTCCTCCTGGAGAATAGATCATGGACTCCTTTATAGCAAGATCAAGGTTAAAATGACTGAAATCATCTTAGGTATTTCTTCTAAAAGTCCAAATATGAAGAGATAACTAGCTAGCTCTTGAAAATCTTTTTCTCTAAGATAACAAACAGTGGGACGATCTGATGGTTACAGACTTGTTATATGACTTTCCAGAAGCTCTGCTGCCTTCTCAGCAGGGGGCGAGGCTACTGACAACACAGAATGTGGGAGGTGAGGACTGTCCAGTTCTTTAAAAGCAGCGATTCCAAGGCTCCAGTGTGGTCAGGAATCACTCTGGAGCTTGTCAAGCTCTGGAGCCTGACCCCAAGCGCCGTGACCAGTGGCACTAAAGTGAGATTAATCAGCAGACCTGAAGACACAGGCCCACTATAACAGGTGGTCTCAGCCACGCTGCTGTGGTGGCCCTGAAACATGTTGTCTTTGTGACTTGGAGATTCATGGATATAGTCCTTGCTAGAACACCTTCGGATACCAACAAGGACATCTTGCATTCTAAAAATGCTAGAGGGAGTAACACACAGACAGACAGACAGACAGACAGACACACACACACACACACACACACACACACACATACACACACACATTGTTCTTGCAGAGAACCCAAGTTCACTTCCCAGTACCCACATAGAGACTAACAGTAACTCCAGGTCCAGGGAATCTGATGCCCTCTTCTGGTCTCTGAGAGTACTGCACACATGCAGGCAAAAAAAACCTTATACACAGAGAATATAAATAATACAATACAAAGAAATCTTTTCTAAAAATATTAGATGGTTGGTATGTTTCATGTTGCCAACAAATTTTCAGTATATAAGATTTTCGAAGGACTTCCAGTGAATAAACCGGATCTCCTGGGATCTTAAGGAGAATGTTTCTTAAAACTACAGTTTACCCTTGAATTTCCTGAAAACTTGCTGTTGTTGAAAAGCAGTTTTATTTCTCTTTAGAACCCTTACTCAGTTTAAGGTGATCTCCTGGGAAATTACTAAACTCCTAAGATTATATGACCCCCCCAATAGTGTTACCTTTTATGGTAATAAAGGAGTTTTCAGCTACTTAATGGGTTGCACTAGAGAAAAATTAAGCTCTCTACTCTCTGCCTTTGTTCAGAAAGCTTTCTCCCTTGGAGATGGGCTCCTTCCAGCTCTTCTGTGCATGGAATATTTCTTATCTTCAATTTCTCTATAGAGAGGTTGGGTCACTGTCATTTAGAATTAATATCCAAAATCATTCATGTGAAAGGTTCTCAAAAAAAAGAGGAGGGTCGCAGAGTTTTCTTCCTTGATTGACATAGTGTGCTGGTTCCTTTGCAGGGCTCTCGGAAGCTTCTGGAACTTGTCAGATACCACATTGTTGCATTTACACAGGTTGGCCCTATTCTTCCTCATACTACTTTATCCTGGCTTTTAAAATTCCATGTCCTAGTCTTGAATTCCAATATATCGTGGCTAGAGAGTTATTTGTAGCACTTAATTAACTCTGAGTAGACCTTCAGTCTGTAACTGTTATCTTCGATATTGTTATCAAAGAACCCCTTAAAGCCACAAATACTCATGTCGTCAAAGCTCCTGTTATTTTAGGACTTTTCTTGTCGCGCAGACTGTGAGAGATGGGACTCTGTGGGTTGCTGCTGATGACTCCTTGATCTCTTCCTGTTGCAGCTGGAAGTGACCACTCTGGTTTCAACACCTCACATCAGGAGCATGGCCAACCAGATCATCAAGTTTAACGTAACCAGCAAAGTAAGTGAGAAGCCCACGGCTGGTGCTGACTCCTGCGTGTTCACTCTGATAATGCATCTACACCAACTCACAGATCTGAAACCTTTTCTTGTTAGGTAACATCTGTGGGGATGCTCCTGTGTGTGCAGGTACATGTGTGTACACGTGGAGGCCAGAGGACCACCTCAGGCATCATCCCATAGGCCTTCTCCCTTTTGAGACAAGCTTTCTCATTGGCCTGGAGTTTGCTAAATAAGCTAGGCTGACGGGCCAGTGAGCCCCAGAAACCCACAGAGTTCACCTCCCCAGTATTAGAAATGCATGCTACTATGCCTGGCTTTTTATAGACAGATACTAGGGATCTTGTACTACTTGAAATCCAAGTACTTTACCGACTGAGCCATCTCCCCTAGTCCACAGTGTTGTGTTGAAGGGCATCTCATGTCCCAGTAGACCACACCAGGCCAAAGCAGTTCCACATGGCAGAGGTTTTACTAGGAAAGAATGGGGACAAAGAGGAGAGAGAAAAAGACAAGGGAAAAGGGGTTGAAGGTGGGGAAAGGTTCTCCTTTTATCTCGACTGTGACGTAGGCAAGTGAGTGTGAGAAGTGAGCACCTGTGTGTGACATTCCTGAGTTTGGAGCTGGTTTGCCGAGCTGGCCCTGGATACCAACCCATGGTCCTCACATCTTCACAACTGTTCCACTCTTCACTCAGTTCTTTCAGTAAATACCACCGACATGAGCAACAGTCCGGATTAAAACAAGAAGGGGGAAAAAAGAAGGACTTACATCCTAGCAGAGAAAATCGAAAGTAACAATCCATTAAATGATCAGTGAATGGCTGTTGTGAAGGGTGTTGGTCAGAGAGGTTGTGAAGGCAAGAAGAAGAGAAGCCTGGGAAAGGCAGGAGGTTGAGGCTTGAGGGGTGAGTAGAATGAGTTTGTCCCGTTGATAAAAGAGAGTGAAAGGAGAGTACGTGAGAAGCCCTGAGGGTGCATGGTTTACTTAAGAAACTCAGAGACGCTCATTGTCTGGGGTGGATAAGTCTAGGAGCACAGAGAGAATGGTCTCCTGTTGGTTCATCTGCCCACTATTGATGACGATGACGATGATGACGATGACAATGACAATGACCTCATCCACTCAGCAGACATCTGCTGAATACCAATATGTACCAGGCACTGTCCTATGTCTGGAAGGACACGAGAGCAAACAGACAAAAATCTCTGGTTGCATGGAACTTTCATTCTAATAAGTAGAAAGTAGTCAATAAAGATGCTAAGGGAAAAAGAGTGTCCTAGTAAGCAATGAGGGGGAAAGGCCAAGCAGGAAGTGAGAACAGGAAGTGAGAGTGGCACGTCCCATCCATTTATTATTGTTTTAGTTAGCACTGAAAATGAGGGATTATTATAACGTTTTCACATCTATACGTGTCTTCTTGCATACATCACTGTACCTTGTGCATATCTCCCCTGCTTCCCTCTATAATGCCCCCATAGTCCCTTCCTCCCTCTCTGTCTTCATGCTATATATGCACATATATGTATGCATATATTCAACCTAGATTCTGTATATGAAAGAAAACCATCCATGGTTTGTCCTGCTCTGTGTCCCCCATGACCCCTCTCAGTCCCCGTTCCATGATCTTTGGAATTCTTCCTCCAATTCTTAGCCAACCTTCTGCTTTCAGGGGACTAGCACTTTAGATAAAGTCCCACAAAGCTCTCATAAAGAAGAAAACATCTGAACAAAGACTTGAAGGAAGTAGAGGTCTCAGCAGTGTGACTCTCTGGGGACAGAAGTTTCTAGAGAAAGACACAGCCAAGAACAAATGCGCACAGTAAGGAATGTGCTGAGCTGTTTGAGGAACAAGAAGACAGTGAGGCTGGAACAGAGGCAGCAGCAGGAAGAGGGGGTAGGAAGCAGTCACACATCTAAGGGATGGAGAGGTAGGGGTGGGTCCCATCTGCACTACGACGCCAGGGTGAGGATGAGGCTCTTACTCCAACTGGAGGATGGTAGAAGAATGATCTGATAAGATACACCATTTGAGAGACAAGTTAAGAGACTTGACTACAATGAGCCAGTTAAAATGGTGGTAGGAGCTAGGAGATAGTTCAGTCAGTAAAGTGCTTGTCACTCAACCAAGAGGGCCTGAGTTCTAGCCCAGAACCTGCATCAAAAACCGTAAGTGTGGTGTTAACCCAGTTCTGGGGAGGCAGAGATAGATGGATCCCTGGGGTTCATTAGTCAATCTGTCTTTGCTACTCGATGAATGCCAGGCTAGTGGGAGACCGTATCTAAATAGATGGATGGATGGATGGATGGATGGATGGATGGATGGATGGATGGATGGATAGATGGATAGATAGATGGATAGATAGATAGATAGATAGATAGATAGATGGATGGATGGATGGATGGATGGATAGATAGATGGATAGATAGATGGATGGATAGATGGATAGATAGATGGATAGAGTACCAAAGTTGGCCTCTGGCCTCCATATGCCTATGTGCACACACAAAGAAAATAAATAATTATGGTGTCCTGCACAAGGATAGCCAGGGACATGGTAAGAAGTGATTGATTTATGAATACATTTTTGAGGATAAACCCAACAAAACATGCTGTCTGTCTCTATCTGTCTCTGTCTCTATCTGTCTCTCTGTCTCTCTCTCTCTCTCTCTGTCTCTCTGTCTCTCTCTCTGCCTCTCTCTCTGTCTCTCTCTCTCTCTCTCTCTGTGTGTGTGTGTGTGTGTGTGTGTGTGTGTGTGTGTGTGTGTGTTTTGAGACACAGTCTCACTCTGTAGCCCTGGCTGTCCTGGAACTCATTATGTAGACCAGGCTGGCCTTGAACTCACAAAGATCCGCCTGTCTCTGCCTCCTGCGTGCTGGATTAAATGCATGTACCACCATGGCCAGCCTTGCTAATATAGCTGACGGGTGACAAGGACTGGGAAAGCCAAGCTTGACTCAGGCTTTTGGTTTGAGCAACAAGGATGAGGTTGCCCTTGATCTGCAGGAGGAGCAGGTGTGGGGAAAGTAGAACTCACAAATCTTGGTGACTTCATTCGAATTTGTTCTCTTCGTTAGCTGCTCAGCGGCAGTCTGCCTGTCTGTTTACTGACGTGCCAACAGGGCCTAAAGCAGGGTTAATCTGAGGTCAGTAAATGTATCGATTAGATGGATCCTCCTTTGAGAACGAGGAGGTGAAATAAGCAAGTGCTGTATGAAGTGGAAGTGGACGGTCTCTGCGCCACCTCAGCATGTGCAGGGACACCCTTGCCCGATAAGGGATTCAGTTCACAGACACAATCATTTCCAGATAAAAGCTACCTAATAGCAACCGTCCCTCCAAGGAGAGATCCAGTTCTATCGAGCCGTTTGGAGATGCTGTAACCGCGCGCATCTGCCTGGGGATGGCTCTGGGCCCCGCCGTCAGAATATACGACGCCAATGCTTCTTTTTTCAGGGGCAGATTCTGGCAAACAACGTGGCTGTGGACGAAACCGAGGTCGCTGCCAAAAACGGCCGAATTTACACACTGAGCGGAGTTCTCATTCCTCCCTCCATCCTGCCGATCCTTCCCCACCGATGCAATGAAACAAAGAGGGAGTTGCAACTGGTAAAGGAGCTTAGAAAATTCGGGAAATGGGAGGGGGCGGTGGGGGCGTAGCCATGGGCAGCATCCTGTGCTCAGTTCTGAGACCACTAAAACCACCCCATGAGGGCGCATGTCCATGAAGAGGCATGTGGTCCTACAGCCGTGAACCAAGGTTCTGGTGGAGTTTCTACTGGAGATAGCCTACAGGTAAGCAGGGCTCTTGATATGGCCATAACAAATGACCATAGATGTCAGTCATTTATCCTGTCACATCAGAAATCTAAAATCAGAGTGTCAACAAAGCCACCCTGTCCTTGGAGGCCCTAAAATACCAGGGGTCCTCATTGTCATTATTATTATTATTATTATCATTATTATTATTATTATTGCTCTCCATGTGCTCCAAAATGGCTTCACATTTGTGTACTTCAGAGATCCTCCTGCCTCTGCCTCCTAAGTAGCTTGAGACATAAACACGTGCCACTTCACTAATTCCCAGTCATCCTACAGTTCCCTGAAGCCCTCCTCACGCCTCACCTCACAGTCGAATGCTCCCATTTCTGCTCTCCCCTCTATGTGCCCTGTGGGTCTTCTCCCGTGTTTGTAAGGACAACAGCCACTGGATGTGGGACGCCCAAGTACATCTATAGATTCTATTTCCAAACAAAGTCACATCCTAAGGTTTGGGGGGAACATGCAGTTGGGGAGAGTTGCCATTTATACTACTCAGTCACGGAGGCAGAACCTGAGCAGGGTTTCCTCTTGGGATTCAGGATCAGTCTCTTCCCTTTTTCTTCCACTGCTTGTCACCCAGAGACAGCTTTTCTTTCTGCAACAGAGACCAACTTCCTTTGCAGGTGGATGCTCTGGCCAGTGACTTGTCTTTCTTTGATTCTTTTCCAGTACCTGACCTCCCTCCCCTTCTGTGCTGGATGGTGACCTTATCTAACTCTGTACTGACTGGTCTGGCTCAGTCACTTTCAATCAAATCACCCTTAATTCCAACATTTCTCCGCATGCCATCTCTAACTTACTATGGGCCTATAAACCCCAAATCACAGCAATAAGGGGTCCTACTCCTTCTTTGCAAGATATTTCAATCATAATGATTGATCTCACGGTGTCTTTGAAACACAGGCACTGAACAAGGGAGACAAAAACCCACCTAATTTTACTTTTTAATCTTTCTCCACCTCTTCTCATTCTTCTTCCTTCTCCTCTTTTTGAAACAGGGTCTCAATACGTAGCCCAGTCTTGTCTTGAACTCACAACCTTCCTGGATCAGCTGCCAAGTTTGGTATTTCAGTTATGTGCTAGCACGCCACCTTCCTGTTCCTAGCTAAGCACCAGCTTAGAATGGTGACTGGCTTTCGGGTCCCAGGTCTCTTCACTGATACAATGACTGTTTGTTTTAAGCTTTAACTTCTGAAAGTCAGATGCCATCTGGAGAACTTACTAGCTCTCCGATCAGCCCTTCTTAAGAGAGGTTGAAACATTTACTCTCCTACCCAGCCCCTGGCAGCAACATGTTTGGTTCCTACTTTGGAAATAATCTCCATTGGTGGGCACATCTCCTGGCTTAAACCAGAGAGAGCGGTGCCCTCCTAAACCAGATGTGACCCTATTAGGAAAATCTGGCTCTGCAGAAATGAGAAGAGACTGGACTCAATCATTCAATGTGCTCTTCAGCACCTTCCCCTGCAGGCAGCTCTGCGGTTGTAGAGGGACGGGGCAATTCCCTGCTGGCCATGCTCTGCTGCTGGCCTTGTTCCAAAGCTCGTTCCTCATCTCTCAAGGGACAAACTCCCTCCTTCCCTCCCCCCACCTTCGTTTTGGATTTGGGTTTTTTTGGGGTTTTGTTGTTTTGTTTTTTCAAGACATGGTTTCTCCATATAGCCCTGGTTGTCCTAGAACTCCCAATGTAGACCAGTCTGGTCTCAAACTCACAGAGATCTGCCCACCTCTGCCTCCTGAGTTCTGGGATTAAATGCATGTGCCGCCACCACCTGGCTGATTGGATGTCTTAAAAGTCCAAATGAGTTCTCTGGGAAGTATGTATTTAGGTCTGGAAAGAGTATAAATAGTTGGAACTTCTTAAAATCTCCTTTTGGACAGGGGGATGGAAGGGGGGAAGAGGAGGTAGACAGGCAGAGGCAGACAGAGGCAGAGACAGAGGCAGAGATGCAGAGAGAGAGGCAGAGGTGGGAATGAGAGGGTCTATTGTTCAGATTTATTACTACTCAACTAGCAGGGACCGATCACCTTAGCCCTGTGCCAGTGCTGACCCTGTTTCCCTGGAGAGGAGTGACGGAAGGGTTCCCCAGGGGCAGGTGCTGCTCATGCAGAGAGACCAGCATGCTGCAGCCTGTTTGTGGGCTGTTCTGTCCAGAGAGAAGCAGGTGTTGTGGGTAGATTCAACTTTCCCAACACTCATCTGGCATTGGCTTCATTCCTGCATCCTGGGAAGAAGGAGGAGCTGCCTTCACCAAGAGGGACGCCTATGTCCCGAGGGCGTGTCCCTGAAGGCAGTCTCTGGGAAAGCATGAAAGCCTCTGTTGACTGCTGTCTTTCCTTCAGGGCACTTGCGTCAGCTGTTCCATGAAACATTGGAGCAAATGTCCTACTGACTCAGAGCCCACGGTGAGTGTGATAAGGCTGTTTTATGAGCACCTGAGCTAGCCCACTCTGTCCTCTCTCCTCTTTTCTGCGGCTTCCTTCTTTAAACCGGAGCTAATGTATAGCTCCTTGCCTACCCCTGAGCACAGCAGGGGTGGGAGGAGGAGACCCCACCAATCAGTGTTGGATCCCTAGCTGGCCTGGTTCAGTCTCCTAACCTCATTATCCTAATTTTCTTTCTCTGTGGGTAACAAAGGGGTTAGTGTAAATACAATTCATAGTAGCCAAGAGCAGACAGCCTCCAGGTGCTGTCTCTCTACTTCTCCCTCCCAAATAAAGCCCAGTGTTAGTATTTGCTCTTACCAAGCATTTTTTTTTTTTTTTGGTTTTTTCGAAACAGGGTTTCTCTGTGTAGCCCTGGTTGTCCTGGAACTCACTCTGTAGACCAGGCTAGCCTCGAACTCTCGAACTCAGAAATCCGCCTGCCTCTGCCTCCCAAGTGCTGGGATTAAAGGCATGTGCCACCACCGCCTGACAACCAAGCAAAATTATAGAGGCATACAAAGGAGAAGGAAAGGTTATATACTTTCAGAGAGACAAGAAAAATAAGTCTCAGGTTAGGGACAGTATCCTGACGGTATATGATAGCATCTAATGTCCTGTGTACTTAAAAAAAAATACTAAGACTAGATTTTAAATGTTCTCCCCACAAAGATATAATGAGTAAATGAGGCAATAATGGCATTGATTAGCTTGAATTAGTCATCTCCCTTGTAATGTGTAATGTTACACTGTATCCCATAAACATGTTTGTTGTTTATTATTTTCCAAAAAGAATCCAAATAGGGGCTGGAGAAATGGCTTGGTGGTTAAGAGCACTGTCATTCCAGAGGTCCTGAGTGCCCAGCTCCTCCATCAGGTGGCTCACAACCATCTGTAAACCCAGCTCCATAGAATCCAGTATCCTCCCTCTGGACTCCATAGGTACCCACATACAGACACACAGACACACAAATAAAACAATAAATTAAAAGAATAGGAATAAATGTCAGGAAATAACTCTAAAACTATTTGAAATGTTTTATGTTTAATTTAATTCTTCACATATTAATTGAAGTTTGATCGTCTCTTAGACACATTGCTTGATTGTGGGCCAAATAAGTAAGATATCATATTGGCTTGGGTTTTGCCTTGGGAAGTTCAGACAGAGATAGATAGATAGATAGATAGATAGATAGATAGATAGATAGATATGCTGTACAATTATACAGCAATCTGTAATTATACACCAAGTACTCTGTTGGAAAAAGCAGATGATAGAAATCTCTGCCTTTTAAGAAAGACTTTCCCAAACAGAAGATTCTTTCAGCATTAGATTAGATCATTATGGAAAGAGACAGGGTCTTTAATACACTCCTAGTAGGAAATACTTAATAAAGAAGAACATTAAACTTCAGTGGGTGTGGGTGGTCAAGCGTTCATTGTGTTTAATGAAGCAACTTCCCACAAGTCCCTTGGGAAACTATGAACCAGGAAACAAGAGAAAGAGAAAGATGAGTACCCCAATGCCAGCTGGATGCTGGCACTCTATGCAGCAACCGTGGAGTAGTAGTTACTTCTTCAGCTGCTGTAATGCAACTCCCTGACAAAAAGCACCCTAGGAAAGGAAGGGTTCACTTCAGCTCACGGTTCGAGGGGATACAGTTCTCCACAGAAAGGGAAAGCATAGCATAAGGCTTCTTCTCACATTGCATCTGCAGTCATGAAGCAGAGTAAAATGAATACCAGTGCTGAGCTGGCTAGCTTTCTCCTTTTTATGCATCCTGGGGCCTCACCCATGGAATGGTGCTGTCTCATTCAGGAAGGTGCCTTCCCTAGACAATCTCCATGATCTCGGTTAATCTAGATGATCCCTCACAGGCATGCCCAGAGGCTTGTCTCCGAGGCTGTTCTAGATCCTATAGAGTTAACGGTCAATATTAACCGTCAAACCTAGGAAGGATATATATTGTCAGCAGAGCTGCTGTGTGACTTGGGGATCAAGGCGAGGATACATAGCTGACATGTAATAGTATCAGGATTTGTGCCTGTGAGTCTGACACCATATAGTCAGCCTCAAACTAAAGGGGGGAATGAAGGGAAGAAAAGGAAATAGGGACAAACTATAAAAGCTCCTGAGATCCCTACATTTATAACTGGTTAATTACCTGAAACATCTCTTCTTCTGTGACCTCAGAATGCAGTTCTATAGATAAGATTTTAGGACCCTGTGGCTGCTGTGGTCTCATCAGTGTCTTCCTATGCAGAGCCTGAGACAAAGGGATAAAGTCTAATACAAAATTTCAGCTGGGAACTAAATTCTTGGGATGAAACTTGATTTCAGTGTTATTGACCCATTGCAACCGAGAAGCAACCGAGTCTCTGGACCAGATATTAGCAGGGCTTGATGGGAAAAGTGGTTTAGCCTATCTGATCCCCAATTTCCTTATATATTAAAAAAGAAACATGAAAAAACATTTGCATTAATTAGCAAATAAGCAATTCACATAAGCAATGTGTCTCGACTATTGCAAGTCCTCAGTAAACGGGCACAAGGTGAGCATCAAAGATTAAAGAGCAGAAGGACGCCCTTAGTCAGCTCCCGAATCCAAGGGGAAAGCCTGGGGCTACTGATATTTATTGTAGTCGGTGGATTTTGTTTTTCCAAATAGAAGCGATAGAGATAGATACTTACTGGTTCCAAAATGTCTGCATAGCTTAAGGATGACTGTAGAACAGAAGAATAAGCCAGACCACATGCAGGAGGAATCAGAACGTTCACTGATCGATTACACTGTCTGCTATAACAAGAAAGGTATCAAGATCCTTGTGCCGCAGGCTGTTCAAAGCTTGGCTTATATTCTACCAACAAAGAAAGAGGTCTCGTGAAGATGGCAGTCTGATTTGGACCTGGGTGTGCTGGTATTTGCCCTTGCTCTGATATCATGGAGTAGAGTGGCTGGCCAGGGAGAGGCTTGTAAGACACAGGAGATGCTGGGATGCGCATGATGATGCTTTGACCCACCGGCTTTCTTCCAGGCAATCTTCACACACAAATGTTTCTACGGCAGCAGAACACGGAACCTGAAAAGTGGCTGTGCCCGATATTGTAATGTGACTCTGGAGGTGAGGAGGGTACAGCCGGGGTCTCATCCAGGACACCAAGACTCTCGAAGCTCCCAGCTATGGCCACAAGTATCCTGCAGGAATTCAGAATGTTTTCCCAAATAGGAATCAACAGGTGGACTGGGTAGTGTACTCAGGTTATCACCTACCTGAATCACACCTCTCTGAGTCCCCCTGACTTTTCACAGAGCCCATGACATCTCCATGTGGCTCTTACCCACATGCCGGCCTCATCATATGCTCACTGGATATTCTCTTCAAATACTCATCCAGATGTGCAGGGGCTGACTCATCTTCCCAGTCTCCCTCGCCCTAACCCCTCCTGTCACTACCCAATGGCCTTCAAACTCCATCTCTCCACACCATCTCTCCATTTCAATAGCCTTCTTCCTACCACTGAGTGACCTCCAGCCCCACTATTTGTCTATTTTACCCATGCTGACCCTCCCCAACTCTCCTATATTCTCTATAAGCATAAGCCTCCATCTGCTTCCTTCCCTGTTCACAAGAGAGACAGCCACTAGACGGGTGGTAACGTGCTAGCAAGTTCATTAGAAGGGATGCCATTGTATCCCACTAGCAGAAATCAGAACCACCCCTCTTTTGAGAAATCAGTACCCTCCTTGGGATCCCCAGGGGCAACATGTGTGTTGTTTCCAGATACCAAGATGCTGTAAAGGTTTCTTCGGGCCTGACTGCCACCCATGTCCAGGAGGTTTCATGACTCCGTGTTCTGGAAATGGGCAGGTGAGTCCAGTCCCTGTTCACACTGTTTCATGTGTGCTGACCTTTCTTTCTTTCTTTTTTATTGGATATTCTACTTATTTACATTTCAGATGTTATCCCCTTTCCCCATTTCCACCCCTCCCCCTGGAACTCCCTACCCCGTTCCCCCCCTCAATGTTTCTATGAGGGTATGCCCCTGGCTATCCACCTATTCGCCCTTCCCTGCCCTTGAATTCCCCCACACTGGGGCATCCCGCTTTCATAGGACCAAGGACCTCGTCTCTCACCAATGCCCGACAAGGCCATCCTCCACTACATATACAGGAGCCATGGGTCCCTCCATGTGTGTTCCCAGGCTGGTGGTTTGGATCCTGGGAGCTCTGGTTGGTTGGTATTGTTGCTCTTCCCATGGAGCCACAAGCCCCTTCAGCTCCTTCAGTCTTCTCTCTACCGCCTTCATTGGGAACCCCATGATCAGTTCAAAGGTTAGCTGTGAGCATCTGCCTCTGTACATGTCAGATTCTGGCAGAGCCTGCTGACCTTTCTTAAGTCACACAGTAATATTGAAAAATCCTAAACCAAAAAGTGACACAATGCTACCCAGCGCTCCCAGGAACCCAAATAATTGGATCTGTTACTGAAACAGGAAGTATCTGCAGCAGAGGAGTCTGAGCCTACAGAGGGGAGTCTCCCCTGTAGTTCACAGTGAGATCTGGGAAAACTTGAAAGTCTCTGGACCTCACTCACCAAACCTGTGCACGGCCCTAAGGTCGAAGGTTTTTTATGGTTCCTAAAAATAATAACAGCACTGGCCAATGGTTGTTTTGTTTTGTTTCATTTTGTTTAAACCCAACTTCAGAACCTAGTGACACGTAAAAGGCAAAGCTTAACTCATCTACTTGGAGGCCAAGACCAAACAAAGGAAGGTAACAGTAGCTGTGATTATGTAGGAAAACTATAGATTTGCGACTTTAATAGATCCACTTCTAAACTATGGCTGTTGCAAAGGAACAAAAAAAAAAAACCAGGGGATTGGAAGGAGGTGTTACACACAAAGTAAAGAGTAAAAAGATGCCAGTAGCAACCTGAGACCTGGTCGTTGAATAGAGAAGGTAGCCCACACCCAACTCTGATGTGCAGCAATCAGTACCAGCCTGGTTTTGCCTGGGTTATACAGGTTGGAGAAGAAGCAACTTTACAATGGAGAGAAAACCCTGCAGTATAGGCCACAGCTGGGCAAGCAAGAATGGGGAGGGAACAGGGCCAGGCCTCAGCTGAAGGACCCTGTCTGCCTGCTGTCATTCTTTAAAGCTTGTGAGAAGGATCTCATTTCACAGTTGTAAACCTCTTATCCAGAGGAGATATAAACAGCTATATCCACCCCAGATAGAGCACTGGGGGAAAAAAATCATCCAAGTCTATCTTGGTGAACCAATGTATTGCTTGGGTTTACATCTGGAAGCCAGAGTGACTCTGAGCACCTACGTCACTGAAAAGGTCCACCCCAGCAGGAGAATCGTGACTCACAAAAGCTGCTGCATCCACCGAGGAGCTGCCTGCCCAGCTATCAACAGACTCACTGAAGAGTCTCCTGCCTCAGCACACATCTCCTGCTTATATAAACTGCGAGGCTTCCTGTGGGTCGTGACTGTTTAGGCTTCTTGAGTCTTATGTTTTATGAGTTTCCTGAGCCTTGGAAATTTAGTTAACCTGAGTGCTAAGCCTCACTTCACCATACAATGTTTCAGTCCAGAGGAAACAGCTACAATACACCCTTGTACCCTGCCCTTTAAGGTTCTAAATCCCAGATCAGGATCCCCAAGCCGGGTACTAGTTTTCCATCCTACTTGATACCAAGATGACTCCACCTCCCCCAAGGAGTCCACTGCCAATGGAGTTCAAATTGAAGCCATGAATCAAAAGCCATAATGTGGCTGCCACATATGTCCTAACTGCCCATGGGGCTGCCTTTGCTCTCAGTGCATAGATGGCCTCGGTGGCAACGGGACCTGCATTTGTGAGGATGGCTTCCAAGGTTCCATGTGTCAGTTCTGCTCTGACCCCAACAGATACGGACCTCGCTGTAACAGAAGTAAGTGGGGCTTCTTGGGCTCCCTTCCATGGGCCCCCTCTCATACTGAGCATGCTACTCATGTCGTCTGGTGTCTTGTGGATTTTGCTTGTGTTGTATGTCATCATCACAGCATTGTAGTGGTGGCTGGGGCGTTAAGTGCTGTTTCTCATGCCATAGCATGTGCCAGACAGTTGGGAACAAGCTGCTGAGTTTCTGACTCTCTCTGGAATGAGTCTGAGAAACTGCATTTTTAACAGGTCCCTGGTGTGTGCTGGCAGTGCCCATCCAGGGACCATACATTAGAAATCACTTTCTATGTCCATAAAGACACAGATAGTCCCATTTCATAAAGACACAGATAGTCCCATTTCATAAAGACACAGATAGCCCCATTTCATAAAGACACAGATAGTCCCATTTCAAGAGCTAGGCCTGATCCCTTTCAAATAATCCTTACCCATCAATTCTTCCATTTAAGAATTATGACCTCAGCCAGGTGGTGGTCCACACCTTAATTCCAGGGGAGACAGAGGCAGATGATCTCTGAGTTGGAGGCCAGCCTCTTCTGCAGAGTGAGTTCTAGGACAGCCAGGGCTACAAAGAAAAAATCCTGTCTCACCACTTCCCCGCCCAAAAATTAAGACCTTGGATGTGTACACACTCAAATTGCAAAATAAGGATGAAGATACTAGTAAACATTTTGTAAATTCATTCCAACCTATGTATGGAAAACTTTTCCTAAGACACACCTAGCGCATAGTACATACTGAACATATGCCAGTGACTACTGTGACCTCTTACTGTTTTTGTTGTTATTCTAAGAGCAGTAACCATACCTCAGTGACATACATATCAAAAAGCCTAAAGGAACATATGAAAAGTTCCACAATAGGCATATACTAATACAGTCCTATACTCTCTGAAAATGAATTATTCTTAAAAATGACATCAAATGTATATTCAACTAAATTTCTTTAGATGTCTGTTTCTAAGCTAAAATTGGACCTTTAAAACATGAAATGGATAGATAAGAGTTTCCAGTGGAGTTAGACCAAAAGTTAAATTCTCATTTCTACAGTTAGTGTCTCTGTGACCTGAGGAAGGTGTTACAGTGTCTCCATCTAGAAAATGAAGACAATGTTGCACAGTTTTCCTCATCATCCAGGGAGATTAGTTGTATACTCCTCCCTGCCTCTGAATTCTGCAGCTGCTCAGTCCTCTATATAAAAAGGCATAGTGTTTGTCTGGATCCTATACATATCCTCACATAGGAATCCCCTCTGGATGACTTATACCAAGTACTACATAAATGCCACACAAATAATTCCCATGCTCTATTCTAATTCTTAGGCAACAATGACAAGGAAAAGGCATGTATATACTTAGAACAGACATAGGGGTTTTTTTTTTTTTAATATTTTTGATCCAAGGTTGATGAACCACAGTACATCACAGGTTGTTTATAATGTCAAAACAGATCATAAATGGGAGATTTTAGCACAGATATTATATCTTCTAAATAATCAATGAACAAAGTCACATAATGCTATCCCCACTAGCCCCTCACATTTGTTAAGAAGATGCCTCCCTCTCTCTCTCATGGTGTATTTGCCTGGGAACCCAGTAGCACAGCAGAGATCAGTGCTGTTCAGTCCTGCTTGTTCTTTATGCCAAGTAAGAGCTTTGAGACAAAAACAGGAGTTTAATACAAATCTCAACAACCTTGGCATTTGTCAGATCTCCAGAAGGATGTGGGGGCTCAGGTCAGGAAGTGGCTTCCAGCTTTGACCCACATCTTGAGTTTGTGGCCACTGGAGTCCTATTTTTCACAAATGAAGTCCTGGCTTACTTAGCATGGTATAGCAGTTAATTTCTGTTTTAAATCCAGATGTGACGTCCCAGACTCTTTCCTTTGAGTCTGTTCACTCTTTGCTGGATGTTGGTTCCAAGCACCTGTCCATGCTGGTTCCTGTCTCCTTAGTCCTGACTGGGGCAAGGCCCAAAGCCTCTCAGTTAGAACGCTATTCAAACCCTAATTCTTGGAGCCTTCCTTTGAGAAGTTCCATGTCCCTCCCTTGCACAGTGAGGTGTGTGTGTGTGTGTGTGTGTGTGTGTGTGTGTGTGTGTGTGTGTGTAGAAAGTCACATGAGTACATTGCATGGGAATGTACATGTACACATGAACATACAAACACATGTGGAGGCCAGGGTCACCCTGGTGTCTTTCCTCATGACTGACTACCTTGTTTTCTGAGATAGGGTCTCTCATCAGCCAGTGATCCCAGGGGCCCACCTGCCTCTGCCTCTCTACTGTCTGGGTGGTTTTTGGGTGTTGTTGTTGTTGTTAGCGGGTTCTGAGGATCAAACTTAGCTGCTCGCTTTCCTGATTGAACTAAGCCCCAGTTTGAAATGTTCAGATACTAATATTCAGAAACAATGTGAAGTGGACAAGGTTTAAAATGACAGGAGTTGTGGAAGAGCTGGTTGACACTATGGCCCACTGTGTGTACAGTCACTGTAAATGCAGACTTGAACAGCACAGGGTCAAGTCCCTGCCTGGGAACTCGGCAAACTGGGTCGTTTGCTTTAGCTCTCTGGGCCTCTGCCTGCTCATCTGGAAAGTAGACCCGACCTGGGACTGAGGGTGGTTGATGAGGTCGGGAAAAGCCAGTTCGAGGCCTCGAATGAAGTCGGGGCCCAAACCTGGCCACTAATTACTACTAGTTTGCTGTGAATGAAGGTAGAGAATTGACACATAAGCCTATTTACGAAAACAAAGAAAGCTTATCTATATATTCTAGAATGTTTTCAGAAAGTGAGAAACTTCTTGGCTAACACCTCCAACCATGAAGTAGTTGAAAATCGGGCTCCTTGGTTCTTTTGCCATATCACAAAAATCATGTCCTCCCCTCACCCCAACTTCACCCACTCCCCACATACAGATACATTTAAAGCATACTGTGGACAAATATATCCCCCTACATGGGACAGGGGGGATACTCAGCTCTCTAAGGTACACTGAGAAATGCTGGTGACCCTGACTTCAACCCAGCTCTGATTGACAGCAGTGAGCTGGGGGTTGGGGGGGGCAGAGAGATGGCCCCCATCTTCCATGGTACTCCGCTCCAATAATAAATGGTTCTCCAAGCCCTGACACCCTCTCCTCTTCTCTTCCAGCCTGCCCATGTGTTCATGGAACATGTGATAACAGACTGGACAGCGATGGAGCCTGCCTGTCAGGAACATGCCGAGAGGGCACGGCTGGGAGGTTCTGCGACAAGCAAATGTCAGCCTGTGGGCCCTATGTGCATTTCTGTCACATCCATGCCACCTGTGAATACAGAGGTGACACAGCCAGGTAGGTCACATCCCAAGGCTACTGTGCCACCTGTGGGTGGAGCCAGCCCGTATCTAATGCATTAAAATGTAAGGCATGTTCTGCCCAGCTGACAGCACTGATCTTGTAGAAGCTGTGAGCTGAATCTGAATCTTAGCTCAGCTTGCTTTGAAATGCAGCAGCGGTGTGACCTTGGGCAAGCTGGCTTACCTCAGTGAGTGACCTTGGGCAAGCCGGCTTACCTGTGTGAGCTTCACTGTCCTCATTAGTAGTGATGTGCCCTACCTAACAGAACAGTAGGAGAGAGTAAAAGAACATAGTATAAGGGCACGGTGTCCCAGGCTAGATAATTATGACAAGCCCCTTAGGAAGGTGTGCACAGTCAATTCTAGCACTCAGGATGCTAACGCAAGAGGATTGCTGTAACAGGCAGCCTGGACCTTGTCTCAAAAATCCAACAAGATGGGAGAGGGGTGTTAGGGAGGTGATTCAGCCTGGAAAAGCACTTGCTGCCCCTCCAGAGGATCTGAGTTGTGTTACCAGCACCCGTGCCTGCAACTACAGCTCCAGGGGATCCAGCACTGTCTTTTTGGTCTCTAAGGTTGTGTGTGTGTGTGTGTGTGTGTGTGTGTGTGTGTGTGTGTGTGTGTATGTCTTTGTGTGTGTGTGTCTGTCTGTGAATACATGTGTCTATGTGTGTGCATGTCTTTGTGTCTTTGTGTGTATATGTCATGTGTATGTATCTGTGTTTATGTGTGTCTGTCTGTCCGTGTCTGTATGTGTGTGTGTGCTTGTGTATGTGTGTCTATGTGTGTCTCTGTGTGTCTGTGTATGTTTCTGTGTGTCTCTACGTGTTTCTCTGTGTGTCTGTGTTTGTGTGTGTTTATGCCTGTGTGTATATGTGCATGTGCTTATGTGTCTATGTGTGTCTCTGTGTTTGTGTGTGTGTTTGTGTTGTGTGTCTGTACATCTGTGGCCCACTATGTATACAGTCACTGTAGCTGTGGACTTGGACAACACAGAGTCAAGTCTCTGTATGGGAACTCAAGAGGCAAAATGGGTGGTTGCTTCAGCTCTCTGGGCCCCTGCCTTTAAAAAATATCAAAAAAGGAATCAGAAAGGAGGGAAGGAAGGGGAGAGGGAAGGAGACTTATCTGTCTTCCTACTGTGACAAAATACTCAGAGAAAGTCAGTTTAAAGATAGAAGAGTTTGTTTTGACTTACATCATTTTAAGGGATAGCCCATCGAGGCAGGGACATGTGGTGGCAGGAACTTGAAGCAGCTGGTCACGTGGGATCCTCAGTAGGAAAACAGAGATAGATGTGTGTGCTCAGTTTGCTTTCTCTGTATTCAGTCCTGGACCGAGGCTATGAAGTGGTACTGCCCATATCAGAGTAGGTCTCAGAACCTCAGATAACCTAACCTAGATGATCCCTCAAGGCTGTGCCCAGAGGCTAACCTAACCTAGATGATCCCTCACAGGTGTGCTCAAGGCTTACCTAACCTAGATGATCCCTCACAGGTGTGCTCAAGGCTAACCTAACCTAGATGATCCCTCACAGGTGTGCCCTGAGGCTAAGATCTAGATTACCCCTCACGTATGCTCAGAGGCTAACCTCAGCTAGATCATCTTTCACAGGGGTGCCAGAGGCTAAAATCTAGATTATCCCTCACAGGTGTGCCCAGAAGCTTCTATGGGTGCTTCTCTGTCTGGTTAATCTGGTAATCAGTGTTTACCATCACAGAAGGAAAGCTAAGAAATCCCCATGCTTTGAAGACACCTTTATTTACAAAAGCAGTAGCAGCTCCCCAGCAAAAGGCATCTGGCAGGATGTGAATGGTAGAGGGACTTCCACTCATTCCCTCAACTGTGTAACAGCTACAGCAGCTTTGCGGAGTAGCAAATGTCTGGGAAGCTTGCTCTCTTCCAGTTCAAGTCAACAACCACCTCAAACACCCTGGAGGAACACCGGATGTCTGGAACCCCAGCCCTGTGCTGGGTTTAGTTCTTAATTTACGTTTGCTTAGTCACTAGCTTGTTTGGGGGAATGGGGTGGGGGCTGTCACCCTGGAGAGAGCAGGCTGCACGAGGCGGAGACTTGATGCTTTTCCTGTGGTTACATGGTAGAAATGTGTCAGCCAAGGGAACTGGAAACCATAACCATGTATATGTCACAAATCACCGATGAGTGAAAGAGCTCTCAGAGCCACCTGCATCGCCCACAGTGGGCTGTCTGCGTGGTCTGCACGACCTCAGACAGCTCAGAAGCCTGAGTGGGAAGAAATCAAGCTCTCTTTTTATATGGATGCCAGACAAATCCACTTCCTCTAGGAAACTTGATCCTGAACAAACAGCCGATAGCTTTCTCAGGCATGTGTTGCTGAAGTTTCAGGAGGATGTGGAGGTTTGGTGGAAGCCATGTGGCATCCCCAGCCGCCATCAGAGGACAGTCAATAGATACTGATCCAATGGACTAGTGGACAGTGAATGAGCAAATGCCCTACATTAAACAGAAAAGGTGTTATGGTAGGATGTTTAGGAAGGGATTTCTGGAAGGAGAATGAGACTAGGAACTGTCATCTCACAGGAGATACGTGTGTGTGGTGTGTGTGTGTGTGTGTGTGTGTGTATCCACTTGGGGTGGTATGTGAAGGACCAGAGAAGGGGAGAGAGCTCTCATCTGATAGATATGTTCAAGTATTTTCAGATCTATGCCACAGTTTTTTGTCTCAAACTAGCCTATAGCAGTAGGTTATAAACAGTCCTGTTCTGGTCTAGTAAGAGCAGGTTAGCTGCCACCAGTGTACCTGATGGTGACAGTTTATTTCTATAAACTTCCCACAACTATCAGACCCATTTTCCAAGTTGAGAAGACAGTGTGCCCACTGTGAGGAGACTCAGGGGGTCACACAATGGCTAAGGTAGGGCTTGAATCCCCAGCCAGCCTTGACAGCCACCACCCAAAATCATCCACCCATGTTTGGACCCAGGCTTCCTGCACAAAGCTAATCTGGCCCAGGCACTTCTGGCTCCTCCCTAGGTGGCTATTCGCACGTGTGTGGCCAGCGTTGGGTACCTTGGGCTGATTTTGTGCATTCTCTTCCACAGCTGTGTCTGCAATGAGGGCTATGAAGGAGATGGAACTCTCTGTTCTAAGAAGGACCCTTGCCTGGAATTGATCTCCAGAAGAGGCTGTAGTCCTAATGTGAGTGTTGTTTCTCAGAGCCAGGTACCCTGGGTTTTGTTTCACTTATCTTTTGTAAGTAGGCACAGCAGGAGCTACTCTGTGGAGATAAAAAGCAGTTTATTAAGAGGGGAAAAAAATAACCTTCCACACTGGTAACCTGCCAGGCTGCCACGGAATAGTGGAAGACAGTGACAGCTACAAGCTGGCTGGGTTTTCTGTGGGTGTATGACGGAGGCGGCAGCTCCGGCAGGGATGCTTTTTCAGACATACGAGGGACTGACAGTTGAAGTCAGGAGCATTCAGCCAGCCCTGAAGGGCTTCTGAGAAACGCTTTAGCTTCCTGGTAAACCCAGCCCAGGTGGGACCAGAGCATCACCCTACACAGCCATCAGCACTGCCATTTGGGGGCTCATTTTGTGACCTAACGCTTTTAAAAGAAATCCTGAGGGAGAGACATCCCAGAAAGCAGTGCCTGATTCATACACACGAAGCACATTCAAAATGTCAGATTTTTTTTAATATCAGAGTTTTTGAAATAGCACGTTAAAGTAATGGGTTTTTTAAGGGCATTTTCATATACACTTTGTCTTGTCTTTCTTCTTCCCCAAACCCCCTCCCATCTCCTCGCCCTCCTACCTCGGTCTTCTTCCTCCTCTCACTAACCCCCTTCTACCTTCCTGTCACAGATATCCCAGTAGTCTCTTCCCTCCACTCTTTCCACAGTAGAAACACTCATGGATGTAGGAGGCAGCCCTGGAGGCAGAGGAAGGAGGAGGGGGTGGGAGGAGCCCATGATAGGAGAGCACTGAGGACGATGACGTCATGACAAAATGACAAAATGAAATGTCATGACCAAATCTATTAACTTGTACAACTAACGAAACCCAGAAAAGAGGGTGCTCTCCTTTCCACTGTCATGATTCCTTTTCTAGCTTCATGACCAAGACATGCACATGCCCACATACATGCACGCACACACACCCAACCCCCCCACACACACACGCTACATACGTGTGCACCCCCCCACACACACACAATTATAATCTCAGATCCAAGTATAAGAGAAAACATGTGACATTTGTCTTTCCAAACTTGGGATTTAAAGAGGATTCCCTTGTGGATGTTCTCTGTGACTCTCGCCAAATCCTGATCTGCTGGGGCTTTGGGAAGGTGAGGTGTTGAGAATGACAACCTTTGCTTCACACTTCACAGCCAACAAGGATGCAAGTGCATCCGATCTCATTCACAACTTGTCACGGCCCAGTGAGGTAGCTATGGTTATCCCGGCCCAGTGAGGTAGCTA